AAATAAGGTACTTTTATCACCTTATGATTTTTGTGAGTCAGAACATGGGGATGGCTGAGATATTCCTCTATCTCAAGCTTCATAAAGTTGCAGTTCAATGGTGCTGCTGTCAATAATCTGCAGTGCCATCTGAAGGCTTGACTCGGGGAAGATCTGCTTCCAAACCCCATACCAATTCTTGGCAGGGTTCAGTACCTTGTGGCATTTGGACTCAGTAGATTATTTCCTTCCTGGCTGGGCAGTCAGACACCTCTCCCAATTCCCTGTCACCTGCACTTCTCCAAAATGCAGTTCACATTTGATTCAAGCAGACTATGAACTCCCATTTTTACCCCATATACATATTGCAGATTCACATGGGTTCCACATCCACTTTTTTACATACTGCCATACTAGTGTCTGTTGAATTCTGCTGCCCTTCCTATGATATGTCAAGAGCTTTGTAATGTTTTGAACAACTAATAATAAAATAAAATAAAATAAAGAAACAGATGAAATAAAAAAATAAAATTAAAAAAATGCAGTTCACATCATACAACTGGCTTTCCTCAGACAGCATGCAAAAGCAAAAGTGAGCAACTGTGACATAAGCTACTGTCTTTTTTTTTTTGCAACTTAATATCAGCAAGGGCACCCTATTACCTTTTCCATTCTATTCTCTGGGAGTTGCTAAATCAGCTCACACCCAAATGGAGAGAATTATAAATCAGCATGTCTACCAGTGGGCTAGAGTTACCAGGGAGCATCCCCTCAACACTTCCCTGAATCCCACTCATTCATATTTCCTCCGCATTCAAGGGACTCTGGCCTCTCCCAAAGTCACAAAATTCTGCCCTATTGCATTATAAATTCTAAGTTCATGATATCATCATCTGAGTCAGGGACCATCTTAGATTCTGTCTCCCTCCTCCACAAAGTGGGTTGGGGAGACTTTGGGGTTGATGAAACTGATTACATCTTGACTGTGGTAGTGATTACATAGATGTATCTGTTAAAATCTTATAAAACTGAATATTCAAAGGATAGTTTTTATTGTCATTTATATTTTATTAAAAATTTTAAAAGTTAACATCTCAAGAATATAGTACACTTGCATGTTACTTAAATTTTGGCCAAATTAATGGAATTGTTGACTAAGTATTAATAATATATATTTATGCAAATCTACACTTTGACATTCACTGGAAAACAGTATAATTGTTTCTAATTATGTCATTGAAAAATTATAATAACATTGTATAACTTATACAGTCTATAATTTGCTTATAGGAAAAGAAAAATATTGTTGTTGAAAAGAACATGTAATTATATTAATTAATTCTTTCATAGAAAGAAGCTCATTCAGAATAATGTATTTCCCTCTTTTGTTTTCTTTCCTTACAACAGACAATTTGTCAGTGCAAGTGTTAGGGAAGATAAACATGTAAATGCACAATTAACTTTTTCTCATTTAGTTCTCAAAAGAATTATTAGAACAGTTTTTTTATAAAATGATTTTTGTAAACATTTTTTAAAATTAACTTTCTTCCAGGGTGAATATAAATTGCAAAAAAAAAATAATAATAAAGTCCAGTTTTCCTACTTGTTTTTCCCATTTCTAAAAAGTGACAGAGGTAAGGTGGTAGGATCCTGTTACTGTACCCTGTTTATACAGCTGTACTTCATTGAAGGAAGGCTTGTGTTACACACAGTTTGTGATAGGAAGTAAATGCTTTTAAAACAACTAAAAAGACAGGTCTTTAACCTCCACCTTTGTGGATTCTTTGTTCCACCATTCTCTTCTGTAGAGACTATAAGGAAGTAGCTCCAATATATATTATGAGTCTCTAATGAAACCTTATCTAATTAGGTCATCCCCTTGTTATTATTTTATGGATGCATTAGGATGAATTTTTAAAATTAAATTCTGAGAAGTCCAAAAATATACAATGTGTTGACTTATAAGGAAGATTTATAAGTAGTAAGTTCTGAAAAGCATGGTGCTGAGTATGTTCTAAAGGGAAAACAGTGTTTAGATTGCTTCAAGTGTTCAATCTGTAAACAGTCTTAAAACCTTAGGATATTCATCAACTTTATTACCTCTTGAACTCACACCCCACAACACAGGAAGAGAAACAGTGCCACAGAGTTTCTTATATCTCTTACATATAGCTGTGTGTATTAATCAATAAGCCAGAGATTTTGCTTCTAAATTATTTCAAAGATTATGGCAGGGAAGTTTGAGAGGTCATCATGGTGAATTAGTCCTCATTTGTATAGGAACAATTTTCTAAATTTCTTGGGTAGAAATATAGTGTCAATTTTAGAAATGATTAAAACATTAATTATTCAGTATATAAGTTACTTATCAGAAGCTGGGTAATGAAAATACTTTTATAGAAAAAATCTGATAAGCCTACCTATTCAGAATCCTGTTTATAATATTTTCACTCTCACAAAGTTAAGTTCTTCTTATATCTCTGAGCTATCACTTGTTGACTAAGATAATTTTGCTTTCCATGTTTTGTTTGGTAACTCCCTAAACAAAGTGGTCAGAGAGCATACAGCAACTGCCCAGATCAGTAGACTGGTATTTTCACAATTAAGGTCCATAGTTACAATCCCATACATCCAATCCTAAGCTTTTTAATTTATTATCTATACTGATGATACAATGATCATATCATATGGTTAATTCCATCTCCTGGATTTGTAGCAAAAGACCAAACATAAATTAGTTAAGTAAGAACAAATACATGTTTTTAATTGAGTGTTATATATAATGTGACATTTTCAACTGGGAGTTTCTTAAGATGAAAAATATCTACACAGAGAAAAATATGGGCAGAATACAAAGTCACTTGGCCTCTTCTGTTCCTTTTTTTTTGAAGGGTCATTATGAAGTCATACTTGTAGGCAAAACAAGCCACTCTCCTTTTGAGTGTGTGTGTGATAAAAATAAAAACATTCATTGTCTTCTTTATTATAAGAACAAGAGCTCAAAAAATTAGACAATAAGAGAAAAAACAACCCAATCAACAAATGGGCCAAGGACCTGAACAGACACTTCTCAGAGGAGGACATACAGTCAATCAACAAGTACATGAAAAAATGCTCACCATCTCTAGCAGTCAG